TTTGTGTGGTCCTGGCTGTCCTGAAGCTTGCTTTGTAGAATAGGCTGGCCTCAAACTTAAGAGTTCCACCTGCCTTTGTCAGGACACTTTTCAAATGCATTGGTGGATACATTATGAAGGCAGGTGACAGAAAAGAAAGGAAATCAAACCTATAGGTCTCAGATACTATCTGTGGGCATTCTCAGTCTTGTGATTGGTGGAAACAAGTGTATTCTTGAGTTCCAAAGGCTTTATCTTTAGATCACACACAAAGGGCAATAAATGTTTGTTAAGGAAGCCAAAAGTAATTATAATTTGACTCTGGACATACATTCCAACCTTTGCACAATCACAGATGTTCTAATCAGTTAATAAGTTCAGTGGAAAGGGTGACTCCTTCTAGGAACTTTACAACTCTGTAAAAAGAAACACAAGGCTATATATAGCCTGGGGCCCTTAAATATTCTTGAGTGGTTCATAATCAGTCTTGGTGGTATATCCCTCTATCATCTGGACCTTGACTTCATTCTGAATAAAATTATCTTCTTTTGCAAATCTATGTGAATCCTTTATTTTTTTATTTCCCCAATTCTGTGGATAAGAGGCCAAGAATCTGGAAGCACTTGACTCTGGCCCACCTGAAACACTGACTGAAAGTACAATGATAAAGTAATTGCCCTAAACCTGTAGGTATCTTTGATTTAAGGAAGCACCAAACCTCAAGGTGCAAACCATTTGAGACTAGGAGAATTACCCATGAAGGCAAGGCTTCATTCTGTAGCAGAAGGAACCATGTTGTAGGAACCAGATTGGTTAGACAGCAGAGTTAACCATTCAACTTCCTAGAGGTACCAGTGAAGAATTGATCAGTGAACCTCACTTTGACTAGGGCGACTTAATCAGGCACACACATTGCTATCCTGCCCTAATTCGTTCTTTATTTAAGCCTAAAGCTGTATCGGTACCCCTGAAGATGAACTGGTCATTATTGGACCTCTTTACTTGCTCCTCTCTCCAATACACACTGGTTAAATCTCTTTTCTCTGATTTTCAACATTACCCATTTCCTCAATTGGTAACTTGGGGTGGGTAGAAAATTCGAGATTTCTGGGGCTGCCAGAGCTGGGTTATTGACCTAATACTCCAATTCTATTGAGGCAAAAGCTCCTGCCCTAGGGACCCTTCTAGATTCTCCCATGTTCTTTTTGTGTTGCTCACCATCTTTGTCTGGTATTAATACTGTCTGCAGTCACCTAGTAAACATGGTTAAGTGACTGAGGAATGCCTTCTTGTCCTGATCTTACCTTAACTCCATTTCAGGTCTGTTGAGGTGTTCGTTCTACTGCAAACCCACCCCTTGACTAACTATATCTACCTTGGCAGCACCTTTCCATGACCTTGACCATAGCCATATATATATATCTCCAAAATGACTGCTGAACGTATAACCAAACCTAACAATGATGTTATTAGGGATTTTTGTCTTTATAAATGCTGTATGCTGGCTGAGAAATCATTGTGACAAGAGTCTGCTCTGGCTTAAATAAAGGACTCTTATTTGGTCTTATATTAGTGATGGTTTGTAGCTTTCTCACATGGATTATAACAAAGCGAAGTATGTTCTTGAGTTCTGTGGGCCACTGTGACAAGTTATTGATTCCTCAGGAGTGTTCCAGATTTGAGACCCAAGACCATTAAGCACAACCAAAGTCTGAATTTGAGAGTCTTTATTTAGCTGGAGAGAAACAGTTCTCACAGAGCAGCCTTGAATGTATTACAGAGAGCTTTTAAAGGCAAAATAAATAAATAAATAAATAAATAAATAAATAAATAAATAAAAATATAAAAAAATAATAGAAAAATTATATATATGTATATACTGCTACTGGTATATACTGGTTGGCAGTAGCAGGGGGAAGTAAAGCAAGCAAGCAGTTTAACAGAAGCCAAAAATGTGCAGTTAGCTGGGGCATTTTGTCCGAGAGTTTCTAGAACAGGGTTGGGTACTTTCCCATGGGGCTTTCCATGGCAAGGATAGAAAAGGTGTGTGGAGCCAATTAAACCAAGGATGGCTCTAACTGAGACAACATGGAAGGAACCTATGCACTGATACAAGGAACAAGCTGTGGCATATGGTGATCTGAATAAACATGGTCTCCATAGGCCCACAGGGAGTGGCACTAGGAGGTGTGCCCTTGCTGGAGTAGATGTGGTTTTGTTGGAAGAAGTGTGTCTCTAGGAGTTGGACTCTGAGATCTCAGAAGCTAAGCCAGGCTTAGTAGCTCACTGTTTCCTCCTGTTGCTTGTGAACTCAAATGTAGAACTCTCAGCTCCCTCTCCAGCACCCTGTCTGCCTGAATGCCACCATGCTTCCCACTATCATGATAATGGACTAAACCTCTGAACTGTAAGCCAGCTGCAATTAAATGTTTTCCTTTATAAGAGTTGCCTTGGTCATGGTGTCTCTTCACAGCAACAAAAAGTCCAACCTAGACACAGAAAGTCTATATAGCTTATTGGTCAGAAGTACCTACTGGAGGCCAGGACTTGGAACTGGCATATGAACTGGAGACAGTCTTGCAAGGCAACTTAACTATAGAATGTGATGCTAACTCTTAAGAATATAGTGACAGAACTGAATTAATGATAGGAAATCAAGCTGGGGCTGACAAGATGGCTCAGTAAGCAATGGTTCTTGCTGCCAAATCTCTGGGACCCACATCTAGGTAGGAAGAGAGAACCAACTCTCCCAAGCTCTCCTCTGACTCCATTAAAAGAAATCCATACATAAATAAATAAATAATGAAAAAAATTTTCCAGCTAGTATATGGACAATAAGATAATTGCTTATTATAGAGAAAGATACTCATTTGCTTTCGGAATAGCTATGCTTATTTAGAGTTATTGTTTTGTTTTTTTCAAGACACTGTTCTCTGCGTAGCCTTGGCTGTTCTGGAAGGCCTTGAATTCACAGAGATCTGCCTGCCTCTGCCTCTCTGAGTGCTGGGATTACAGGTGTGTACTACCAGGCCAGGTTTCAGAGTTCTTATTTAATGACTTTCTTTTTCTTTTCTTTTTTTTTTCTTAACTAACCAGGCCCAACCCTGCTTAGCTTCCGAGATCAGACAAGATTGGGCCCGTTCAGGGTGGTATGGCTGTAATGACTTTATTTTTTCATGTAAACATTTCAAAACTTGTTTATAGGATGATTATCCCAAGTGGATAACCAAAATGATTGGAAAATAAAGTCAACTAGCCAAACAATTATCTAGGAACTTACTTATGCAAATAAGTCCTTCCTTCCTCTCTCCCTGCCTTCAAGATAGTGTCATTACACAGCCCAAGCCAGTCTTCTGAGTGCTATGATTATAGGTATGTGCTACCATATCCAACTAAGTATTTCTTTATTATACTAAAACAAAAAGGTCAAATCCTAAATTGAAAAATAATCTATACTAGAAAAAAAAAAAAAAAAAACTAAAGCAAATACAAAAATCCACCATTTTACGTAATTACTCTTAGTAATTATATTTCACATAATTACTGATCTACATAGTGAATACCAGGCCAGCCAACATCAACAAAGTAAGATTTGTATTGAGACTTTCTTGAACCCACCAGTGGATGAATAAAGACACAGAGACTTGTTATTATTTATAAAAGCTTAGTCACTATAGCTAGGCAGATTTTCAGCTATTCCTACTGCCTGCATCCTGCCTTGTGGTCCGTTACCTCTCTCTCACTCAGTCCCAGCACCTGTTCCTTCCCATGTCATGCTGGCAAAATCTCCCACCTCTGATTTCTCTCACAGAAACCCTCTCTCCTGCCTAGATATTAGCCGCCAGTTCTTTATTAAGCTAATCAAAAAGTGAAGAAGAAAAAGTGTTTAGAAAATATGAGGTAGGCAATGAGCCATAAGAATAACAATACCAAAGTCCAGACAGTACTCAGCTCTTTGCCAGTTTAGCAATCAACAATGGAATATACAAAGACAACCTTCACACAGTGCACAAAAAGGTCATCCCAACAAAGACTCAATTCTAAAAACCAAAACAAGAGTTTTGTTTTCTTTTTTGTGATGCGTTCATTGTATTTCAGGCTGACCTCAAAATGGCTATGTAGCTCAGACTAGACTTAAACTCTTGCTCCTCCTGCTTCTACTTCCCAAATACAGAGATTACAGGCTTTTGTTATCACACCTGGCTAACAACATAAACCTTAATCTTAAGCAAATACCAACTGGCCATGTCTTGTACTATACTAGGTAAAATATTTAAAATACAGCAGTATTATTTTAAATATGTTTAACATATAAAGTAGTGACTTAACATTTCTTAAATCATTATCAATAAGAATTCTAATTTTGATTTCTTTTTACTCTGATTTTTTTCTTAGTTTGAATAGTTTTATTGATAATATAATTCCTGTTTTTTATTTTATTTTATTTTACTTTTTACCTCTATATTCTCTTGCTATGTAGGCCCAGACTGACTTGAAACTCACTATGGATTCCAAGGTGGCCTCAAATTTGCAATGAACTTCTTGCTTTTGCCTGGAATGACAGTTACATGCCACCATGCCTGGCTCACATTCTGTATTTCACTCTTTTGTTGGTTTGTTTGTTTAGATTTTATTATGCATACAGTGTTCTGCCTGCATGTGTGTCTGCAGGCCAGAAGAGGGCACCATATCTCACTATAGATGGTTGTGAGCCAGCATGTGGTTGCTGGGAATTGAATTCAGGACCGGTGGAAGAACAGACAGTGCTCTTAACCTCTGAGCCATCTCTCCAGCCCCATCTCTTTTAAAATTTAGTTAACATACGAAGTCATGTTTCATTTTAACATTTCCATATATACACACCACTGTACCTTGCTCATATTCCCCTCTTCCTTCTCTTCTCTCCCCACCTTGCTGGTGCCTTCATAGTCTAATGAGATTTTTTTTTTTCTTCTTTGTTCCAAAATTATATCAGGTGCTAAGTATTGGCCTACCCATGTACTCAGTGACCATAAACATACCTTCTGAAGTTATGCTATTTCTATGTTCTCTGGAGGATTTTAGATTTAGTGTCTTCAGTTTTCTGCATTTAGACAGGTGTTGGAGAGCCAAGTCTGAGATATCACAGCTTCTCAGATCTAGTCTTTGGACTTCAGGATGTAACACCTGTAACAAATACATGATTTTGAAAAAACCAACAAAACAAAACACTTTTTGGGGCTGGAGAGATGCCTCAGAGGTTAAGAACACTGGGTGTTCTTCTAAAGGTCCTGAGTTTAATTCCCAGCAAACACATGGTGGCTCACAACCATCTACAATGAGATCTGGTACCCTCTTCTGGTCTGCAACACAAATGCAGGCAGAATACTGTATAAATAATAAATAAATCTTTAAAAAAATAAAAATTAAAAAAAGCTTTTGCAATTCAGCTGTCTCTCTGGCCCCCAAATTAAGTTTTCTGTAAATATGTATTCCATAATTTCATAGTTAGTGATCTGATGATTATAACAGATAAGTGGTTGATGAAAAATATAGTCAAGAATGTAGGATTTAATTCATGTGGAGATGATAAAGCAAAACAAACAAACAACAACAAAACCAAGTTAGCTTCTAGCTGTAAATTCAGCATTCAGAGCCCAAAGTTCTCAATGTTGAAACAGTTGGTGCAGAGCAAGGACCCCAGCCTGAATAGCCACAGTACTGGCATTTCCCACTGACATCATCTTCTGACTATGTACCCATTTGCTTCTGTTCAGCAGGTACTGTTTCCAAAGAAAAACTCTGATCCTTTAAAACACTTTCATTCCAATGACCTCATGGTAATTGGTCTGTACAGGAAGAATCAATCCTCTAGCAAACCCAGCTCTCAGCTGGGTGAAAAATCACCAATTTTAGAGGCCACACAGCTGAGCAATATGAGGAAGATAACATATCTGTTTGTGGATTGTGTCACCCAGATTACAAGGCAGGGACTTGACCAGTGCTGCTAGCTTACAAATGTCTGATGGATGAGTGGAATGGAATGCAATACTTGGCATTTGTCTATATTTTATGTCTGTCTTCTTCATTGCCTTCATCTTTTGGTTAAATCTCACACAGTTCTATATGTAGACATGCTGAACATCTAAGAACTGTTTTGTTTTGTTTTTTTCCCCCAAAACAATCTTTCGGGGTTAACTTGACCTACAGTTGTCTAGATTTTCCTTACATCCACTTAGGGATAAAGCTGCCTACCAGGCAACATGACCAGAAATTCCAGATTATAACAGGAATAAAAAGAGGTAGCACCTGACTTCTTGGAGGATCTTTGCTTACTCCCAGAGAAATATATTTACCAGCCCCTCTACCCTCTTATTCCTCCTGCCCTGTATCTGTAACACTCAGACCCTTGCAGGTCTGACAAGCTGATTTGTGAGCAAAGCTCCCATTTCTTCATTCTTTAGCCACTGAATCAATTTTTGTGTTCCCAACACATGTTTAGTAGTTATTATAAGCGAGATATTTACTTATATAGGGTAGTAGCCCTGGCTGGCCTGGATTTCTCTATGTAGGCCAGGCCAGCCTTGAACTCATACCGATCCGTCTGCCTCTGCCTTCCGAATGCTGGAATTAAAGATGTGCACCGCTATGTCTGACACTAATATCACTTCTTTATACACTCAGTCTTTTTGTTGGAAAACAGTTTATTATTATTACTATTGGTATTATTATCTGTGTGTATATGTTACAGTACAAGTGTAGAGGTCAGAAAACAGCTCTGGAGAGTTATTTATCTCCTTCCACTGTGGGTTTTTGGGACTGAATTCAGGTTATCAGGCTTACCTGGCAAGCATTTTCCCCTAGTGAACCCCAGCTCCCCCTTTTTTTCTTGGTCTTCTGAGACACTTTCATGTAACTCAGGCTATCCTCAAACTCACTATTTAGACAAGGCTGGTCTTGAATTTCTGGAGCTTTTGCCTCAACCTCCCAAATGCTGGGATTATGGGTAAATACCACCATTTTGTTATTGTTTTGAGACAGCATCACTCTATGCAGCCCTGGCTATACCAGAACTCTAATCTAGACCACACAGGCTTTAAACTTACAGAGTTCTGCTTTGCCTCTGTCTTTTGAGTGCTGGGATTAAAGGTATGTGCCACTGTGTGTGGCTTCATCATGCCTTTTGAATTTTTTTTTTTTTTTAACATGTATGTGTGGATGACTAAAGAGGTCTGGTATTGAATCCCTAGGAACTAGAGCTACAGGCATTTGGAAGGCTCCTGATGTGGGTTCTGGAAACTCTGATCCTCTGGAAAGACAGCAAGTACTTTTAACTGCTGAGCCATCTCTCCATCCCCCTCCCTTCTTTTTTTGAGATAAAGTCTAGCTCTATCACACATACTGGCCTAGAACTGTGTAACCCAGGCTGACTGGAAAGTCATGACAAATTTGCTGCTCTGACTCCTGAGTATTTGAGTAACACACAATCTACCATGTCTAAGTATTCTTCATTGTTGGGGTAGTTAGTACATATCCACTGTTTTGGGGAGCTACTGTTTAGTATTTCCTTGAGGCCAATAAGTAACAGCCCAATTTCTAAGCAGGCAGAGCTCTGTGAGTTCAAGGCCACCCAGGACAGGGAGACCCTGCCTCAAAAGCAGCAACATCAATAAAAAAGTTTTACTATATATTTAAGTGTAGAGAGAGGAAGGGAGGGGAGGAGAATAAAAGCAAGGAAGGGTAGAAGATAGCACATATCTAAGGTTGAGTACTGGCTTCTCAAGCCATCTTAAAAGGACTATTGGTCCCACTATGTACCTTTTTTTTTTTTCCCTTTTGCTCAAAAAAATCTGAAACTAAATCAAAGCAACGAAATAAACTTTTATGGTTACACATTCTTACCTCACTTATATTGGAATCTGTTATCCGACCCCGCATGCTCATTATTTTAATCAGTCTATCTTTGATGTTGGGAGGCAAATATTTAATATCTGATAAATATCTGGAAATATTGATTATTAGGCACCGAAGACATCTGAAACACAAACACAATACAGTAAATTACACTGTATCTGCACTGGTAACTGACACTATCAATACTGCAGTGAGTCCTTTCATAAAACAGTATTTAAGATTCATAATCATTATCTATTATGTAAAGTTATGTAAAGTTATGTTTGATACAATTTCCCTTTACCACTTTCCCTCTTGTATACCCACTGTCAATGTGTGTAGAGGAATTTTAATTCAGAACATGGCTGCTCTGGCAAGAGATCCCATCAAAGACCTTCTAGGATTATGTGATCTGGCTGGAATGCAGATGCACTGGGCAGTGGTGGCACATGGCTTTAATCCCAGGAGACGAGAGACAAGCAGATCTCTGAGTTCAAGGTCAGGCCATCTGGCATACATACCTGGTGTCCATGGTGGCCAGAAGAGAACATAAGATCCCCTGGAACGAACTAGAATTACAGATGGTTGTAAGCTACCACCTGGATGCTAGAAATCGAACTTAGGTCCTCTGGAAAAGTAGCCACTGATTTTAAGCAGAGAACTATCTTTCCAGTCCTAGTTTTGTTTTTTGAGACAGATATAGCTCAGGTTAGTTTCCAACTCACATGACGATAGCTGTGAACCCTTCTCCCCCAAGACAGGGTTTCTCTGTGTAGCCTTGGCTGTCCTAGAACTCACTCTGTAGACCAGGCTGGCCTCAAACTCAGAGATCCATCTGATTCCATCTTCCAAGTGCTGGGTTTAAAGGTGTGTGCTACCACAACTCGCCATCTGTGAACTCTTAATCTACCATTTCCCAGGTGCTGGTATTATAAGCACACACACCATGCCCTTCTTAAAATATATTTTAATAAAGTCAGGCATGGTGGTAACAAGCCTGTTATCCTAGAATTCTAGATGTAAGGCAGGAGGAATTCCAAATTATCCTGTGCTACAGCAGTTAGTTGGGGGCAAGCCGGAGTTACATGAGACTTTAAAATTTCTTTAAAATTTTAAAGAAAAATTTTAAAATGCATATATGTAACAGTAATTTTTATTCACCTGTTGTCTCCAAGGCCTACTCCCTCCATCTGCTAGCCTAGGCCAATCCTGGAAGCGTCTAGCTGCCATACAATCTAATCTAGGCCTAGAATGTTGTTCAGCTTCTGAGACTTCTTGATAAGCTCATTCTTTCTTATTCTGAGCTCTGCTGGCTGGTTCAACTCAGCTGTCTGGCTAAACACCTCTCCCACTTGGCTTATTCAATCTGGGTTTTCTCTTGGCCTCAAACTAACTTCAGCAATCTGTTCTAACTTTCTGGCTCCTTCTCTTTTCACCCTTTCTCTGTAAAACCTGCCTCCTCTTTCTCTCATTCTCTGTGCTGCTCCCTAAGTAGCTTCCCTTTCCTCTCCATTCTCCTGAGAGTTGGGAGTATCTTATCCTGTCAGATCTTCCTGATTTTGTCACCTTTTCTGCCACTCAGTCATCACTTTCAAACATGGGTGCTTCCTTCTACAAACTAATTTTACCTTCATTGTTTGGGATAAAGGCATGTACCACCACACTTGGACCTAAGCTTTTCTTTTCATAAAATTTGCTCAATGTGCACAGTCATACATACAGATGAAGTAGCCCACCCAAACATATAAAATAATTTTTAAGAAAGTTATGTGGGCAATGAATGACTAGAAAAAAATTAGAACCACAAAGACTCATGGAAAGTACAAATCAGTTACCTGCATATACAGTTACCAGAAGTGGCAACCACTAAGACCCTGAAGCAACTGAGGACAATTTAGTCAGGATTTCATTTCATTTATTTGGAAATACATTTGATAAATGCAGCTTGCAGGAAGGTCCTTCTGACCTATCCTTTCCTACACTAGCAAACCACAGGAATCCTTTGAGCAGCACACCTTCCCTGAATATTGTCCAAAAATAACCTTAACCCAGCACCTGGGCAGTAGTTGTCATGGGCCATACAAACTTCATACCCCTCCTTATAGCTCCCACTGTTAGCTCTAGAATTTACTGGCCAGCCCACACCCTTCTGCCCTGTCATTTTTTCACGTTGTTGCTTTTTGTCAGAAATGTGCTAAAGCCTTTCACTTTGACAATTTCTCTGAAAGAATGAAGACAAAAAAAAAAAAAAAAAAAAGTGCTCCAAAGTGTGAGTACGTGTTTTGTTTTGTTTTTTTCTTTCCTTGTTAATCTTCCTTGTGTTTCTTTAGTTCCAAGACCCAAAGATCCTTTTTAGCCAAAGTGGTGGTTGGGGATGTAGTTTATTGGTACTAGTAGCTGTAAGGCCCTGGGTTTGATCCTCAGCACCATAAAAACAAAAATGAAAAGCCAGAATGGATAGAGGACTTCTTTTGCTTCTTATGGCCTCAAATTCTAGCCATCTGAGAAACTCATACCTGTGTCAAGTGATAATAAATTCTGTCTACAAATACCATTGTATATAATTTTAATTCACAAAAGACTAACCATATACTTGTGATCATTTTTTGGTGCAATCTTTTTTTTTTTTTTTCTTTTTTGGTTATTTCCATCTTCCTCTATCTGCCCTTATCCAACCACCATTAGTGTCTTATATTAATCTAGGCCATATTCTTTCTTCCTCTGTGCTTTTATATATAACTCTACACAAACATAACAGAGATATCATGAAGGGAAGTCATAGTTTCCTAAAACAGCATCCCACTATATTCACTTCTCAGTATCTTGTTTTTCATTCAACAGTATTTCATGAAAACCCTTCAAAGTATTTCCGTATTGGTCTCATTCTTTGTGGCTATTGGTATAACTTTCAGTGGATAACTTATTTAATTACTTCCCTTTTGAAAAGCACCACCTATATTGTTCTGTGTTATATTAACAATATTGTCAGATTGCTTTCTAGAAAGTCTGTAACTGGATTGTTACTGGCAGTACTGGAGGGGTCTTTTCTTCCATATCCCTCCACCAATGTATATTATTAATCACTTTTCCATGTATTACCGTTTTCCCTACTTTTGTGTGTCAAAACATTTCCTGGGGAGATGCAACACAACTCACCCGCGACAGGGAGCCCACAATATACTACAGTGTAGATGACATCAAAGTCCAACCTGGTGAACCATTAGTTTTATTGTGGTTACTTATAGGAATATGGGTGAGGGTTACTTAAGAGGAATAGGAATGACTCAGAGATGGCACATCACCAAAACCCACCCAACATGAATGACAGCTCACAAAAACTGAGAACCTGGAGCATGCTACAGAGCTACAACCAGGGTGGAAATGTCCTTTCCAAGTGACTTAGTTGTTTTAAACCTCTTCCAGGCACCTGGGCTTCCATACAGCTGCTCTCTTCTTCTTTCAGCTAATCTTGTCTCAAATTCTATGTATCTTGGCTTGTCTGAGAGTCTCTCTTAGCTATCTTTTATTGCTTATCCTTGGAGGGAGGGACAATAGTAAATCTGGTCAGTTTCAGGGACTTTCTGGTTGCTTTCTGTTTTAAGGAACTTCCCTGGTAGATGTAGTACTTTTTAAACATTCATTTATTTTTGTGTATGTGTCAGGGTGAATATATGTCTGTGGGCACACCTGTCATGCTACATAGGTGGAAATCCAAGGACAATCCACCAGAGGTACTTTGCTCTACTATGTGGCTCCCAGGAATTGAACTTGGGTCCTGAGTTTGGAGATGTGCATCTTTATCCACTCAGCCATCTCTCCAGCCCTTGATAACTATTTTTTTGCATTTTATGTAGAGTAATCTAGATGTTAGAATAGCTGGAAAAGCTCCTCCCTTTTCATTCTATACACTTACCTAATTTCCTTTGCTCTGCAAAGCCTTTTTTAATTTTTTTTTTTTTAATTTCATGCAATCTTATCTGCCAATTCCTGGGATTTATTTTTTTCTGAGTTATTAGAGTAATTTTTGGATAGTCCTTTCATGTGCCTTTCCTTTCCTTTAGAAGTTTCAGAGTTTGGGGTTTGTCATTAAGGCCTCTAATCCACTCTGAGTTTATTTTTATATGGGAAGAAAGGGCTACTTTTATTCTTCTATATGCTTTCCCAGAACCAGCTGTCAAAGAGACTAGACTGTCTTTTTTCCAATGTATGTTTTTGACACTGTTTGACTGTTGTGAAGACACCATGACCAAGGCAAGAAAGCATTTAACTGGGGCTTGCCTACAGTTTCAGAGGTTTAGTCCATTATCATGGCAGCAAGCAGGCAGTTGCTGAGCAGTAACTGAGAGCTACATCCTGAGCCACAGGCAGAGAGAGGGAGAGTGTCACTGAGCCTGGCTTGAGCTTCATCCCAGTGACCACACTTTCTAATCCTTATAAACTTATGGAAGAGTCCACTTCTGGTGACCAAACACTCAAATATATGAGCCTATGGGGGCCATTCTTATTCAAACCACCACCACTCCCTGGCCCCCATGACCTTATAGCCATATCATAATACAAAAATGCATTCAGTCCAACTTCCAATGTTCCCATAGTTTATCAGTCTCAACACTGTTTAAAAAATCCAGTGTTGGAGTTGGAGAGATGGCTTAGTTGGTTAAGAGCACTGTCTGCTCTTTCAGGGGTCCTGAGTTCAATTCCCAGCAATCACATGCTGACTCACAAACATCTATACTGGAATCTGATGCCCTTTTCTGCCATGCAGGTATGTGTGCAGATAGAGTACTCATATACAATAAATAAATTTAAAAAAAGTCCAATGTGTCTTCCAAGACTCATGGTAATCTCTTAGCTGTAACCCCCTGTAAAATCAAAATCAAAAGGTAAATCACAAATGTTCAACAATGGCACAGAACATACATTACTATTCCAAAAAGGAGGAAAGGGAACATAGTGAGCAGTACTGACCAAAACCCAGCAGGGCAAACTCTAAACTCAGCTATGTTGACTGCAATATACTTCTCTCTCTTGGGCTGGTTCCACACTTTATTTGCAGCTTTCCTTGGCAGATAGCCCACAAATTTGTCATTTGATCCACAACATATTGGGGTCTTTAACATAATCCAGGCTTCATCTTTATAG